CACAGTTCAGTATGGAAGTCACTAGCCAGCCTTGTGTGGCTGTTACAATTTAAGGTAATTAACATTTAATAAAATAAAAATTTAGTTCCTCAGTCCTGCTAGCCACATTTGAAGCGCTCTATAGGTTCTTGTGGCTGTTGGGTACTGGGTAGCTCTGGTAGGAAATGTGCCAGGATTGGAACTTAGAGTCAGTAAGGGGCCTCTGTAGTCTTTCCTTAATTTCCAGATTTTTAAAGTAGAATGCAAAAATAATATTTTTAACACACAGGACTTCTAAGGAATTTTTTACTTGTTTGACGATTTCCATCTATGAGCTCTGGGCAACAGACGGAGAGACTCTACCTTTAAAAAAAAAGTTGAGATTGACTGAACCAGGGAGATTTAAGGATCGTGTAGTAAAAATTGGGCATAAAAAGCAAGATTGAGGATTTCATTAAAATCTGATTTATGATCCAAGAAGTGAAATAATTGTTAATCCCAAATTAAAAATTATTTCCATCTATATATACCTCTGGATGTATCTACTTATGCTGTTAAAGATCAGTTAGTGGAAATTCTGAAAAATCTCATTTAGTAGGATTTTTAAGTAAGTTTTTCAGAATCAGTTCTATTTGCAAAGTGGTAATCTTTGGTATCCTAGAAGTAAATCCTGTTTTTTCGTAGGCTAGGAGACCTCATTACATTGGCATTTTTAAAAAAACTTCATAATTTGTATTAGCAGTGAATGCCTAACTAAAAATTTCTCGGAGCTAGAACTTTTTATGAAAAAGATTGTTTTCTTTACATTTCTAAATGTTAAGGGGTACAAATGTTTCTGTTACACGGATACATTGTATAATGCTTAAGTCAGGGCTTTCCCTGTCCCCATCACCAGGAGAGTGTTCATTGTAGCCAGTAAAGTTTTAGCCCCTCATTCCCCTCTTGGACCCTTCCCACTTCTTAGTTTCCGATGTCCTTTATATCTCAAGAGCATCTTTAAAAAAATAATAAAATAAAAACTATAACTTTAGGGAATTGTTCTGGAATTTTTTTTATTGGTGGGGTGAGTACAGGTCATAGAAAATGGTACTATAAAACTTTTCACAGTTTTATTATATGTCCGTAATGTGCGTGTTGGGGTAGGCAAGGTGCATAGGAAACGCACCAAAGGAAAATAGCCAAGGTTTTGAAGTGGCGAGTTGGAGTGGCTTATACAATCATAAAATGTTTTAGCTGCCATTAGGTGCAGTTGAAAACCATGAAATTTGTGAATACATCAGGACAAAACACTAGATGTCAGTGTTGTAATTTTGAAATTTTACAGGAGCTAGTAAAGATTAAACGATTCTGCTTTTAATCACCTAGATGTTTTTCATTGACAGAAACTTTTAGCCATCTTGCCTCTTTACATTTAGATAAATGCTTGCTGGAGAAGTGCTTTTCCCAGGGATTGTTTGTTTTGTTATCAGTGTCTGAATAGTGCTAATGACTCTGAGCATGTGATACGGAATGAAGTGTATAATATTAGTAAAGTATGTTTATTTTTTAGCTCAATACATTTCTCAGTGTGCTGCCAGGACCACTGGTCCTAGGAGATGCTTCTTGGGGAAAAGTCTTTTTAAAATATTTTAGGCAAAAAATACATAAATAAATCAATAAAATATTGTAGGCAATGATAAAGTTCCTGTATATCGCGCATTATCTGTATGGCAAAGCCTGGAGTCATGAATGTCTTCTGACTTCTTAAATTGACCCACCATACAGAATATAGAAAAGGTTTCTAATTAAATGTTTTTATTAAAAATAGTCTTTCTTTTTATAAAGGAATATTCAGCCCCATTATGGTGATGGAAGTATAAAGGATTTGTTGCTTTTAACATTTCCTTTAATATTTTTTCATACCATTAACATACTGCATATACTTTGAGATTATGGTCTTTAATGTGAAGTTATTTTTCTTTTTATTAAGATTCAGTTACTTTATTTCTTGTCATATGCTTGAGGTCCATTTTTATATAGGTATTTTTTATTTGCTTTTTTTAAAATTTAAATTTAAATTATTTTTTTTCTCGTGACAGTCTCACTGTGTCACCCTGGATAGAGTGCTGCGGCGTCACAGCTCACAGCAACCTCAAATTCTTGGGCTTAAGCAATTTTCTTGCCTCATCCTCCCAAGTAGCTAGGACTACAGGTGCCTGCCACAACGCCTGGCTATTTTTGATTGTAGTTGTTGTTTGGCAGGCTCAGGCTGGATTTGAACCCGCCAGCTCTGGTGTATTGGCTGGTGCCCTAGCCACTGAGCTACAGGCGCCCAGCCTGTTTGCTGTTTTCTAACTTCTTACAAATTTTTATTTGAAATGGATCATTTTCATTTTGTGAGTTCTCAGCACTTAAGAAATAAAATTATTATACAGAAGTAATGCCCAACTTGTAAGCTTTGTAATAACTAGCTAAAAGTCAGGTTTTTTCAGCAATTCTTTCTTGATTTGTGGCTGAAAGTCATGTGATGAGAGGGGAGACCCCCTCAGAAAGAGTGCTGACTCTGCATTCTCTTCCATTTTCTTTTGAAGTGAAGGAACTCCCCCTTAATTGGCCCCAGTGTACCCCTGTAAGAAGTAAGGAAAGTTAAAAATCCCTGGCGCTATTGTAACCGGCTGACCTACTGTCCAGTTTAAAATTGTTGTTTCCCCCCTTGTATAACTATTCTGTTTTCCCTCTGCGTACCCTGCTATGTAACTGCTAGTGCCATAAACCGCTTCTGTTTCTGTACAAACCGATTGCGAAAAGTCTCTTGCTTGCTCTCTTGCCAGACTGCATGGTAGCCCCGATAGTATAAATAATTTACCCCATATAAACTCTTCCCTCTTCACGGCCAGTACCTTGGTATCCACATAGAGGGGTAGTCGGTTGGCCAATCTAATAAAGACTCCTAAATTGGCATCAATTAATTGGCGTCCTTGGTGGTCTTTTATCCTGCGCTCTATAACTCTTTGGTAGGGAACAAGCAATAAGAACATAGCAACACACGGACAGTAAAAAGGATGAGAGGATATTTAAAAGCAAAATATGCACGTTTTACTGGAATTATTTAAAGAAAAGACCGAGGCTTGGAGCTGACGAATAGATCATTTTAAAGTAACAACAAGGATCAATAAGTAGACCTCTTTAGAAGGCAGAAGCAGCAGTTAGGATTCTGATGCTTAGCTTTGCCTAAGTTAATGGAGCCAGAGCAGACTCGCTGAGATGCTGCAGTGCATTTGGGCTGTGCTTGCTTTTCAATTCTATATGTTGAGCTGCACGTACAGCTGGATGGGAGGACTAGAATTGAATTACAGGAGCAGCAGGAAACCTATGTAGGCCTAGCTAGGCCTTTTTCTTCTGTCAGTGTTAAATAGTATTTTATCTGAGTGCAAGAAAGTATTTAAAAGATTACTTAAAATACTAATGCTATAGTAGTAGAGGTATTGTGGTAGGAAAGGTTTTAGGTAATGGCATTTTCTGTACACATAATAATCTTTGAGAGTTAGCTAGTTCTGGAGTCAGAAAGAAGGTTTCTTACCTGAAGACATTACTTCTTAAGTGACAGCCATTTGTACGTCATTGAGTTTTCCTTTTCTTTGTTAATGTCTCAGCCTTCCACGTTAGGTCTTTTGCTTCTTAAAGAATTGCCTATAGAGTATGAAACTAGTCACTTAACATTAAAAAAAAAAAGTATCCAATCGTGCCCCAAATACCAAAGATTTAATTGTACTACTTTGTAATGGAATGAAAATACCAAGTTCAGAGTTGAAGATGTAAATTTCAGTGTACTGTTTGTTGAATTTTATCATGCAGAACAACCAAAAAAAGCATATACAGGTTCCCAGGAAACCAGTTCATTATTTAAAATTCAAATGGAATGATGTGGATCAGAGGACTAGCAGAAACCACAATCAAGGTGATGCCGTTGCTCGTGAATCAATTTGCTGGGCATCTTTTAAATTTTGCCTCCCTTCTTAAGTTCTGCAGTTACTGGTAACTGTGCTTTTAACAGTGAGCGCACAGGCGGTCAGCACAGCTGTATGCATCTGCATGATCCTTCTGGAGAGTTTCTGTCTTCAGAAACCTGTGGAACTTATTAGGAAATACTTAAAAGTAGAAGATCTTCTAACAGCCTAGTAACTTGAAATGTTTTTTAAAATTAGGCTGGCTTTTAGTTGTTTTCCCCCCCCCTGAATTTTAAATATCTGGGCTAAATCCCTTAGAAGAGTTATTCTGATTATATGGTCCTATTTTCTTAATAGAAAAAGTTATTTGTTTATAATATTCTTCATTACTCTCTTTAAGTAGTTTAATGGCACAATTATGGTTCACATTCTTGAATATACCGTGTGACTTCATGTCAGCATCTGTCACCACTTTGACAGCAGGGATGTGGCAGAGGCTGTTGGATTTGTTTCTGTGGCCTAGGTCCTGAGTCTTGAAGCTGCCATAATTTCCCCTGTTGATGTGGGTGGGCCAGAACTAGGGGCTGATGGTAATGGGATAGATGGTTCTTCACCATTACTGCAGCTTGTGGGCCTTCGAAGAGTCTGCTTTTACAAGAATGGAGGTAGGTGGAGCTTCATGAAGGGTCCCTGGAGTGGGGGAGGGGGTGGATATAGTCATGGCAACCTCTTCATAGGGTGTTAAAGTTTAATTTTTTTTCACTCTTCTTACTGTAGGAAACTGTGGATTGGAAAAGGATTGCTTTTCTTCCGATGATGAAGCAAGAGAAGCCGACAATGAGGATGATGTTGAACCCTATAATGAAAATGAAAATACCGCGGAATCCAGTGTTGGAACTAATATGGGCTGGGCACATGCCATGGCTAAAATCCTTAACAAAAAAATTCCTAAAAGTAAACCCAGCATTTTGGTCAAAAACAAAGAGCTGGAAAAGGAAAAAGAAAAGTTAAAACAAGAAAGACTAGAGAAAATAAAACAGGTGTGTCCTACTAGTTGTCTTATAGGTTAGATTGTGTAGTTTAGTTCTTTACCAAATTGTTCCTTGAGTTTTGTCCAACATAACGTTAGCTTTTAACTTGCTTTTATGTGAAGGTGGAGAACCAAGGTTGTGTTAAAAGACTGAAATGAAGTTACTTCATTGAGCAGGTTCCCTTTTTAATTATCAAAGCAAAATAAGGCTAATCCTTATAGTGAGAGCAGGAGTTTGGTTTAATAGTGATTAAACATTTTCATTAATACAAAATGAGAAACATGAGTGGAGAAAAGGGGGCAATAAAAGTGTTTTTCCCCACTGGTCTTTATTACTCATTTTCATGCTTTTGATGCTTGCTAGCTTCTTGGTGATTAGTTCATCATATCATTGTATTTGATACTTATTTTAAATGTTGGCCTGAGAAGGAGACCTGAACATCCATTGTATTAAATCAGATTCCTGGGGCCAGGATACTACTCAAAGACAATTTCAAGCTAAATTCTTCTTTTTTTTTTTCTGAGCCAGAGTCTCACTATGTTGCCCTCTGTAGAGTGCTGTAGCTTCACAGCTCACAGCAACCTCAAACTCTTGGGCTTAAGCAATTCTCTTGCCCTAGCTGCCACAACGCCTGGCTATTTTTTGTTGCAGATGTCATTGTTGTTTTAGCTGAACAGGCCGGTTTCAAACCCTCCAGCATCAGTGTATGTGGCTGGCACCGTAACCACTGTGCTATGGGAGCACTAAATTCTTCTGTCTATGGATCTTCTTATTTCCCAGTTCCCCTTCTATTTCTGGATAATAGCAGAGAGTCAGTTTGCAACTGGTACCCCATATGTGGCAAGAATATTGGTTAGGTGTGCTGCAGGAGGAGAAGTGGGTTTAAATGATTTTGTACAAAGACAGGTAATTATTATATACATATCTGGATGTGATGCTATTCTTTTAAAAGCTGATAGAATTTCTTAGTAATTCTGATTGTGGAGGAAATTTCTGAAAAAAGATAAAAAGCTTTTAACCCTGTAGAGTGCAGAAAGGGCAGTTTGGAGTCTTCCCTGTGCTTTCCTCTGATGATCTGGCCGCGGCACATCAGGCATGTGGCTCTCTCCCATCTACCTTGTACTGCCTGGCTGAATGTGCTGGCAGGTCTCCAAGCCCCCGCTGTCAGAGAGCTTGACAGAAACTCACTTTGTGCCTCTCACATGTCATGCCGAGTGGTAACCACAGGCTCCCTGAGCTGAACCCCTAAAATTGTGGTTTTCTTAAAGTCCCTATGACAAACTAAGTCAGAATGATTTATTACCTCTGTCCTTTCACAGAGTATCATATCAATGTTTGCTGCACTTTCAAAAATATCTAATATTCTTTCATATAACAATATTTATAACACAGCGTGATAAGAGGCTGGAGTGGGAAATGATGTGCAGAGTAAAGCCAGATGTTGTCAAAGACAAAGAAACTGAGCGAAATCTTCAGAGAATTGCAACAAGGTAAGGCAGTGTTTTTGCCCTTAAAAAAAATAAGAATTCTGAAGCTTTGATAGTGATCTATTGTTGACCACATTTGATTCTTAAGCTTAGCCATCTCAGAGCCAAGTTATACATATCTAGACCTGCCTTACTCAACACTGTAATTCAACCAAAGATTCCGCAGGTCTCATGAGGCAAGACTGTAAGTGCTAAGTGTATATTTGGTATGAACCTATTTCAGATCATCTTGTACGTATAGTCGTAAGAACTGTAATCAGACCACTTACTGCATTTCTCTTGTGATGGTTGTCTAAATTTATGGCACTGATGATTTTTGTTACCTTGCATTATATTTCTGGCATTACACATTACAGAGCTTCATGCTATTCTTTCACTTTTTTTTTTTTGTCAGTGCCAAACATTTATTTGATGCCCTCTGTGTCTAAAGATAAATAGGATATGGTGCTGCCGGGCAGTTCTTGCCCATCTGTTTGTACCCATCTGTAGGAATTATGCATTGGGAACATGCACAGCAGATTATCTGGGGGAGTTGGGGACGCCAGTACAGAGGAGATAATATTTGGGCTGCTACCTAAAGAGTGCAGCAATTCTATTTAATGGAATTACTTAATTTTTTTTTTTTTTTTTTTTTTTTGAGACAGCGTCTTCCTCTGTGTCCTTGGTAGGACGAGATGTCCTAGCTCACCTCAAACTCTTGGGCACTTCTTGAGTAACTGGGAGTACAGTCACCTGCCTCAATGCCCAGCTAGTTTTTCTATTTTTAGTAGAGACGGGGTCTCTTTTGCTAAGGCTGTTCTCAAACTCCTGAGGTCAAGTGATCCACCTGCCTCGGCCTTCCAGAGTGCTAGGGTTACAGGCATGAGCCATCATGCCCAGCCTGCTTTTAAGTTCTTAATTATTTAAATTATTCTGGTCATTTTCTAATCCATCTAACTGTTATATAGTGATATAGTGTGATGTAGTATGCTGTTTTGTGGTGTGGTGATGAAGAGCATGGGTGATAGAGCCAGACTGCTGGGTTCAAATTCCATCCTGACTTACTAGCTGTGTGTCCTTGGGCATGCTACTTAATTTCTGTCTCAGTTTATCTGTAAAAGGAGGATAGTGTTATAACTGGCCTATAGGGTTTCTCTGAGAATTAAGTGAAGTAATACATATAAAGTATTTAGAAAATTGCATGAAAAACATATAAAGTATTATATATAAATACATAAAAAATATTTAGAAAATTCCATGACAGTGAGTGCGCTTTTAAATTTTGTACCTTGGGCACCTCGATGTCTGGTCCTGTCACTGCTGTAAAGGGCCTGGAATTTTATTTTCCATGTAAGCTATAAACTAGCCTGTTAAAGTTTCTTGGATGCTGGTAGATGACAAGAGACTTTTGGGACAGAGATAAAGGACTTTATTACTCATGGCTAAGCAGTAGCTGGAACTTCACATTCTCACTGGTTCCTTTTGTCCACAGGGGAATGCAGGTGCTCTAAATAGATGCCTGCATGTGAGTGCCTTGTGATACAGTAGAGGATCACTTGGCTTGGGAATCAGTCTCTTTCGTAGTGATTGGTAACAAGCCTGCTCTTTGTCTGGAGGTGGAGTGGGGTGGGGGAGTGCTACTTACTGCAAATACAACCCTGAGAAGTGGCTTGGGGAAAGGCAGTCAGGGCCTTTCATTTTTGAAAATCCTTGCAAGAACCTGCAGGAATGCTCAGAGACTGTGGTGGATTGCCTCTTTCAGCAATTATTATAGCCAGAGAATCCATAGATTATAGAACTTTAGAGCTATAATGGATCATAATGGCCTAAATTAGCGCTGCTCAGTAGAAATAGAATGTGAGCCACATTTATAATTTAACATTGTCTTGTAGCCACGTTGATAAAGGTAAAATGAAAACAGTGAAACTAATTTCAGTAATGTATTTTATTTAACTCAATATATTAAAAATAATCATTTTAACATGTGATCAATGTAAACAGTAATGAGATTTAAAAATTCTTTTTTCATACTAAGACTTTGAAACCCTATGTATTTTCATTTATAGCATATGCCAGCTTAAACTAGCCATAGTTCAAATTCTCACTAGCCACATGTGGCTCCTTTAGGGGACACTGATAGTCTTGGTTTTTCAGAATTCACCTTGGCATGAACTTAACTACTGAACAGATGTCTGGTCCTGTCACTGCTGTTTTTTTTTCCCTCCAGGACAAAAGGCTATTTTTTATTAAACACAGAAATAGAAAGATTAATGCAGTATGAATCTCTACATACACATCACCCATCTTCTGCAATTAGCAATAATTCATTAATTTTGTTTCATTGATCATGTTGGGTGTTGGGGGCTCCAATTTCCCAAATCCAGTTGACCTGGTTCCATTATTCTGCTAAGCTAGAATGTTCAACCACGGCCTGGTGCGAGAGTAAAAGGGGTGGGAACTGGAAGTAAAACCAGAGCGGCCTGGGCAGAGTGAGTAGAGAGCAGAGTCACTTGCATGAGTGTCAGTGTGACAGAGAGAGATTGTTTAGGAAGAACAAGGAGGAAGTTCAGAGCACCTCCAAAGAGAGCTGGAAGTGGGTCCCTCTCGTGATGGAGAGAAGCTGACAGAAATGGAGACACAAAGGCAGTGCAGGAAATAACCCCTTTCTCAAACTGGTTGCAAAAATCCATGGTTCTTAAGCTCAGTGTTTGTATTGTAGCATAATTGTTACTTAACTAGGTTGTTCTGGTCATTTTATATTCTGTAGGGGTGTGGTGCAATTATTTAATGCTGTTCAGAAACATCAAAAAAATGTTGATGAAAAGGTTAAAGAAGCTGGAGGCTCTGTTAGACGGCGTGCTAAGTTGATATCAGCTGTTTCCAAGAGGGATTTCATCAGTGTTTTGAGAGGAATGGATGGAAGTACAAATGAGACAAGTTCAACTGGGAAGAGCTCAAAAGCCAAACAGGTAAGACTTTCATGCAGGATTCAGTGTATCAGACTTTTCAGCTCTTGTTTTGACTTTTCAACTCAAAACAAGAGTTTTGAGATGGAAAAGAACACCATAGGATTACAGTTCTTTTTGAAATTTTATTAGAATTCCTACATACCTACAGTCTAATTTAAAAGTTTGGATTCTTTAGTTTGGTGATGATTGACTCAGTATGGAACTTGGTGATTATGCCTCGCACACCCCTGCTGTTAGAACTTGGGAACCAAATAGATTCAGATACATTTGTTAGAGATGGGGCTTACGTCTCCTACCTGAAATCTACAGTTGTGCATATGGGAGAATAGAAGCCTAAGTGAGGGCCACAGCTTTAAATTTGAGGATTTCATCCATAGAAGTAATTGTGATTGTATGTAATTTGTAAAGTACGAAGAGTCAGAGCTTTATGAAATAATGGTAGAAAGTTATCTTTACATTAGGACAGCTTTGGTAATGTTTGGCTGGTTGGGAGGTAAAAAACATGTCTCTGGCATGATAACTTTGCTTCTTTAGCCCTTTTGACCTGTGGACCTCAGTAGTTGCCTTTCTATGTACCAGGTGAAAGCTTTTGAAATGTGCTTTAATCTCAGAAGCACATTTTTTTTTTTTTTTTTAATTAAAGCCAAGCACATAGTTGTGTTTGAGGGCTTGATTTCTGTTCACAATAAAAAGTATGAGAGTATCTGTCATATATTTTTTGTTTCTATTTTGGGGAAACAGTTGAAACCCTGGCAAGAAGATAATTTAGGAATTTCATGCTAGACTAGGGTTGGAGTATTTTTCAGTTTTCTTGATTATGTTGCCATTTTACAAAATTTCTGATTTATTTATATAATAATGGTTTTCACTAATGCTACTGTTTTAAAGTGTCTATCAGAAGTAATCATAAGCATTTGAACACTACATGTGGGGATTTATACTTTAACAGAACTTAACAGGCTCTGTTCTTACTACTAACATTTTACTCTAAGAACTGGAGAAAATTGGGTAGCATCGGATGGGAAAGAACTACTGGAAATTAAATATTCCTGTTGGTTTCAAAGTAATTTTTTAGAAAATGTTTATTTTTGCTATGGGATTCTTTCTTTCATGAGTTATGGAAATGTATGACAGGTTCTTTTCAATGGCATTGCATTTTTTTTCTTAATCATTTGTATTTGCCCTTGACTTCCTTTTTTTCTACAGCCATAGTATTAATCTTGGACAAAATCAAAAACGGCTTGAGACTCAAGCCAAAGTGGTTTTGCTCTAAAGATAACTTGTTTCAATCTGTTGCATGCCACCAATACCCTGACACATTTCTTTCATTTAAAAATGTTTGTTTTCACTTTGAGTTACTATTTTTGGAAAACAAACACTTTTTAAAAAATTGTGTTTGAGTTTGCATCTGATTAACTATAAAAGTACTATACCATGTGTGACTGGATCAGTTATTGATATAAAAATATTTAAGTGTGTATTTGTACCAGGTACTATCTTGTGTGTCTTTTTAAAGATTTACCATTAAGGTGGAAAAATGACTTCAGATAAATAAATTAACAAGAGTAACTTGACAATGGTCAGATTCTAGATTAGCGTGTCTAGACTACATGTTAATATCAGCTATGCTAGTTACAATAAAATAGAAATTAAGTGGCTACCCTCATTTGTTGGGTAACCTTCAAAGTAGATCAGTACGTCTATGTATGTTACTTGAAATGGTGGACTTTTAAGGCAGTTGAAGGGCAGGAAGGGAGGTGGAGGTAGGTGTAGATTTGGTGAGCCCCTCTAATCATGGGGATGAGTCATAGATTAACTGGATAAAGGGAGATAGTAAGAAAGTAGAGAATGACCTTTGCCCTTTGTCTCTTACTTTACCTTGACCAAGAACCACAGGTGTGTGCCCTTTCCTTATAAATGCTCCTTTTTTCTCATCACACAGTGTGACAAAACACTTGTCCCTTCCCTGGGTTGTAATGATATTCAAAAGATAGGTTTTTTTATTTTGTACTCCTAATACTGCAAAATCTCTAAAATTAGAGACTACCCACATAAAAACTGGATTCACTGACAACTGTCAGGATAACAATTTGGAAACATCTTCAATGTAATGACTTCAGTCCCTTTTCTCAGTTAATTCATTTTATTTATTCGTAGTTGTGACCTTAAAGTCTTATGTCCAAAACCAAGAAGAGCCCACAATTTTATATTATAGTAAATTTAGATAGAATTGTAGTAATGTAGGTTAAAGAGGTTGAGTCCACTGTGGTTGGCATACTGGAGGAGTGGTTTTGGTGGGATTTCTTTTTTTAAAATCTTTTTACTTCTAATGAGTTGGGAATTTATTTTAAAGAATGCTTTTTCAATAATTTTCTTAGAAATTTCACATTTCTTGAAGATACCCAATACAAAGTCATTGTGACAAATATTTCTTAAGTGTGGCAGGCTGGAACAATTCATTTTTCTCAAACTCTTTTCCCTTTTTCTGCATTAGAGATTTAAAATTTTATTATTAAAGCAACAGAAGTACATACAGTATCAGGAGTGAGCTTCTAATTCCATAAAGTAACCACCGCTCTTTTCCACACTTCTCTACCCGTTGTTTTGTATCTTTACCCCCAAGGTAACCATTTTCAATTCTTAGGTCATTCAGTGTTTATCCGTATATCTTAAATAATGTTTATACTGCAGTGTTTCTTTATCACCAATAGATTTTTTTTTAAATGAAAGGCTTCACTTCCCTTTACTTTCTCACCACCCCACATTTTGTCCTTCTAACATAGTGTAAGTCTGTCCAGCCTGAGCAAGAGCAAGACCCCGTTTCTGCTCAAAATAGAAAAACTAGCAGGTAGTCCCACCTACTAGGAGGCTAAGGCAAGAGGATCACTTGAGCCCCAGAGTTTGAGACGGCTGTGAGCTATGATGGCACTCTACCCAGATCCTGTCTTCAAAAAAAAAAAAAAAAAAAAAAATGAGGGATGGGTGAGTAAGTTCAATATAAATATTATTCACTAGTAGTATGTAAAGTAGTATGCAGTAATAATGTTTACTTTCTTCAACTTATTTTCTTGCAGTTTTTGTTTTCTTGGAGTTAACATTTGCCTCTTTTTGTCTTAGCTGTTTTGTGCATCAAAGTCCTTCCACACTCTTTAGAAAAAGCCATTCTGAGTAGTATCTTTCTTGTCTATCTCCGACTGCAGTCTGGACTGGTCTTTACCTGCTGTGCACTGTCACCTTGTGACGTCACTTTATCCCTGACTGGGGGTTACCTTTGTGTCTGGCCTTTGCAGTAGCTTTTGGTTTTTGGACTACCTGTCTTCTTTTTTTTATGGCTTGCTTCCGCATTTTGGTACGGCATAGTTATCAGTAGCTTTCTGGGAAGGAGTATAGGTGTTCTTAGTTTTTACTGATGCATTGGCCTGATACATATGGCTTCCAAAGTGATATATTCATGTCCTAATTTCTGGAACTTGTGAATGCATTTATTTGGAAAAAGGGGTTTTGCAGATGCAGTGAAGGATTCTGAGATGAAGAGGTAATCCTGAATTGTCTAGATCAGTGGTTCTCAACCTTCCTGATGCCACAGCCCTTTAATACAGTTCCTGTGGGTCAGGACCACAGGGTGAGAACCGCTGGTCTAATTGGACCCTAAGGCCTTTCACACATAGCAGTGATTTCACAGACAGAAGCAGAGTAGGGAGTGTGACCTCAGGGTGTAGGGTAGAGCGATACCCAAGCTGGAGGAGGCTGCAAAGAATGGATCCATCCCCAAAGCCCCCGGAGGTCATGAGGCCTTGCTAGATTGTTAACTTTTAGCCTCCACATCTGTGGGAGAGTCTGTTTCTGTTGTTTTAAGCTATCTAGCTTGTGTAGTTTATTATGGCAACTACAGGAAATACGTAATATAGATGTTCCTGTTGGAAAGTTATTTTCTCTTAGAAATTTGAAATAAATTTTCTCATCTTTTCCTTTTTTGTCATTGAGAGGTTCAGTGCTATTCTGACTTCTTTGAAACCTTTTAGGATCTTCTTTATCCCTCTTCAAAACTTTGGCAGTGTAGTTCGCTGGGGTGGCTTTTTGTCATTCTTGTGCTGGACGGTTGGTGTGATCTGTCATCAGTCCAGCAGGAAGTTCATGCTCCTCAGTTCTAGGCGGGTTGTTTTGTTTGTTTGGCTTAATATATTTGATTATGTTTGTCTTCCTTTTGTTTCCTCTTTCTGGAATTTCTATTAATATGTTGTTGAGTCTTCTGGATTGATCCTCTGGTTTTCGTAACTTTTTTTTCTCTAATTTTCTACTTCTGACCCTTTTCTAGTGAAGTTCTTTGATTTCCAGCTCTTACGTTGAGTTAGAGAGAAAAATCTGCTTTTGTATCTTTAAATTTTGAAGTCTTTGTATTGTTCTTTAATTGTTCCTTTCTTGGTTAGAGTGCTACTTTTATTTCATGGATATAGTTAAGAAACTAATTCTGTGTGTTTTCATTTTTTCTGCTCTATAATGTCTTAATCTCTTCTGAGATTATTTTTGCCGTTTATTTAGGTTGGCGCTCATCTTCAAATGCATAGCGGTCTATATTGCCTATTCATATTTAAGCATAAAGTACTAAGGAGTTGAATAAAAGTTTGAGTGTGAACCCAGAGTTTGTTGGTTAGTGTCAGCAACAGGAATATTGAGTAGAATTGGTTCGTTCTTTGGGGGATGCCCAAATGCCGGTTTTTATAGGTCTTTCTTCTGAAATTTCTGTCTTTTCTAGAGAAGAATCCTATGGCATGCTGCCTGTGTGGTGAGAAGCATGTGCGACATTCCCGGTGCAGGATGTAGGAATGGTTATTGGGGCTGCAGCTTTCAGTACGTAGCTTTGCTCAATAAAAGCCCTTTGCATTAACGATTGTTGAAGAGTTCAAGACCTCTGTTATTTAATATCTTCAGGGGCTAAACTACTGTACCTGTCAGTGAAACACAGATTCAGTCACTTGTCCCATCATAAGCTGGGGTGGAGA